CTAAGCTGGGAAACTGTATTCTCTGTCTCTCTCACTCTATCTATATACATGTATGTATATACACATATATAATTTATTTGTGTATTTATTATTAGCCTTCGGGTGCTTAGAAATACATTGGTTCATGGCCTTCTTGTTTATTTGCCCATGAACTTGCCACCCAGACTAGAACTAGAACATGACAGTAGCATACCTTTGCCTCTGTCTGTTCCTCTGCCCACCTTCTTGCCTCCTCCCTAGAGTAACTGTTGTCCAAATGTTGTGTTTATCATTGCCCTCATTTTATTTTTTTAATCATGCTTATATGCTTACATTTAAACTGTTTTCTGTCTTTTCCATTAGCATCAGGCTGGAATAAAGATTTATTTATGAAGGAGTCACCCTTTCTGCATGAAGTGTGTAAATGTTATCAACTAAACTCCAGTTTGCCAACACAGGGATTTTTAAAATGTGTTAAGCTCGATCTTAAGCGCAGGCAGGAAGATAAAATATTGCTCCAGACAGGGCCTTAAATTTCTTTCACTTTATATATCATTTTACAGTACTATAGTTAAGTGATAGAACTCTAATCTACTATCATCCAAAAATCATTCTTTATTTTTCATATGGGTTGGCATTCACAAAATGTAAAATTTTTTAAATGTAAAAAATGTTTTTTTAAGATATGGAGTTGAATTTCCTTTTTGTGGTTACTGATATTAACAATTATCATTCACAGCCCATCTGTATTTGTACTTACACACTTACAAATAAATTGTGAAGTAATTAATGCAATAATTTTTCTATACAATACTATCTTATAATGTTGCAAAAACAAATCCTCCTTTTTTTCTTGTTTCTCAGTTACATCCTTTGATTAGTGACACGTTTTGAAACTTGGTTGTAGTTTCATAATTTAGGGTAGCCCCAGATAAGCTGTTGCTAAGTCTTCATCTGTGTTTATTTTTATTCAATTGACTTTTCTTTCATTAATGGCTTAAAACTTTTGCATTCCTCAAACTTGTCTCATTCCTCCCTTGGTTACCCTACTCTTCTAGTTGCCAGTAACGATCAAGGCCATCTAACTAGACTGCCCTCAAGTTTATTTTTCTTTACTTTCTCCACTTCAAAATTCTGCAAAGAATTATCTTTGCCCAAGTGAACATGTCTGTTCTGTCATCAAATGTTTATTGTGTGACGACCGCTGCACAATCTTTAGCTGTGCATTTGATACTATCCCTTTCCCTTTAGGACATTTTCCTTTCCTCTTTTTGATCTAAATTTTCAAAAATATTCCTTTTCACAGGCTTCTTTCCTTATATTTGTAAACCTGCTAAGGTATTCTCTGTTCTCAGCATAAAAATAGTACTACTACTAATAATTTCATCTGTTATTCTCTTCCTAAATTACTGCCTTTATCTTTACTTGTAGCTATCAAACTTCACCATTTTAAACATTTTAAACACTTTGTTCTAAATATTTTGCAACATGCTTATTAAAGTCAAAAACTTTGCCTCTTTGTTGTTGTTGTTTTCTACTAGGTGATTGCATGTGAACAGCAATTGGATACCACTTACGATGCCAGATGTGACACTTGGTCCCTGGGTATCACGGCCATTGAGCTGGGTGATGGAGACCCTCCGCTAGCTGACCTGCATCCCATGAGAGCGCTCTTCAAAATTCCAAGGTCGGATTAGGACCATTATCTGTAGCCCGTTTTCTTCCTCCAGCCACTGAGTGTTCATCATGCTCATCGAGGAAATATTCAGATGTATTCCAGCAAATTGGGAGCAAAGTGGCCTGGAATATTACATTGCTTCTTCCAAGATGCTATCTTTGTTCAGTAGTTGCATTTCTCTGGTCTAAGCAAAAGAGCTTTCTCTTGAGAATCAGTGTGTTTTTCCCTCTTTTGCTAGGATTTGAATTCAGAAAATAACAATTCCTCCCACTCTTTATCTTTTCCCCCGTGAGTCAGTGAGGCACCTTTGTCCCCAGTCAATGCAACAGTGATTTGCTTTGCTTCACCCACCAATCTGGAAGTTTTTTCCTACTTGCCAAGACTTCTCTTTGTTTGGAACTTTACA